GAACGTGAACACAACGTGAACGAGGTCGGGAATCCTGGCTAACCCCACTACTTCGAACGATGAGTTGGCCGGCTGAAGTTCCCGTGTCGCCACACTTTGGATTTCGTCGGGAAATATCTTAAATACATCGCATATGAAATATTTACGCAAAGGAACGTCACATACCTCTTTCAAAAGTAGATACCAATGCTTGCAAGGGTCAAGTGTGGCACTTGTAATCCTGCAAAGACTCTGCGTGGTTAAGTTAGCCGGTGGAAAGCCGCACGTCGAAAATCCGACTGCCTCTATGACTTCATTTCGAATGGTTTCGAAATCGAAAACATGATGCTTTTCGACATTTCGACATGAAAAATCTCGTCGAGGTTTAATATTATAATATTGGTAAGAATTTAACCAGGATACGAGGCCAAGTCGTGCGACCGCCACAGGTTTTGTACCAAAACAATAACATCGTGTACTACGATCGCAAAGCGTGAACACTGATCGATCCACCAAGTGACGCAATACTGGAAATTCGATACGGTTGTTATTCAGGTCGTACGGCACATGAAAATTGCGATATCTTTTGTTACTGTTTTATGGCAAACCAAGCGAAAGAATCATACCTAAATAATCGAAAGAGAGGCTTTTCGAATACGGCGCCTCGCCGGTATTGCCTCTTCTGTGAAAAGGAAGGATCTTTGAAAGACTACGTGATTAAAAATGTCGTTATAAGGAAACAGGCAGAAACAGAGAAAACGCAGTATTTTATGACCATTACACGCACAACAAACTTCATTTCATTTCATGATTTTGATTTTCATCGCCAACAGATGACCCCGCGTTAACTCGCACGCAATCGCGTATCTCTCGTGGATTCGTGGGCGCTAATCTGTATAATTACATTGTGGTGTAATTAATGTGATGACAGCCACCCAACGCCTTCTTCCCCAAACCTCGGCATCAGTTTACGATGCCTGCTGAGAATTTTTTTCTTGAGCAAAGCTCGTCATGATCTGAGAGAGTTTCGGAGTTAGAATTGATTTATGACAACAATTAAGGACTTCACTTACCTCTCTCGATCCAAGGAACACCATACCGGCAGCGATTTGTTTGGCAAACATCACAAGATCATAGTTGGTCAAATCTTGTGCCCTACCATCACCAAGATAATACCGATCCCTCACTCCTCGGCATTTTCTCAGATAATCAAGTAGGTCGCTGCATGGCATGTATTCTATGATGAGAATTGGGTGAACTTAAAGTGGCGTTAAAAAAAAAAGTCAAGGCTCATGACAACAATATCTATTAAAAACTTCGGAAGAGGACACATTTTAAGGATTTTCCTTCATGAGACCTAAGCCTAAACTTTTGAAATGAGAAAGCAAGATAGCCCAGTTACTGAGATTAATGATATTTGATACTCTGGTCGTGCGTGCAAGGTCCTCGTGATCGGCTATCGATAAATGTTCACAAAGTGGAACAGTCTTGCTACCGCGCACGCGTGTGCGCGCGCACACACACACATACACACACACACACAAAGAAACAAATAAAACAAAATAAAAAAATAAATAAAGAAACAACAAACTTCGTCCGATCAACAGGCCATTCTGGTTATGGAGCTCATATAAACAAGTAATGTAGTATTTATAATAACTTATGCATAGAAAAATGCTTTACACTTAGTACTTACTTTGAGTTGTAACGCAGCCCATGAACTTTACAATGTTTGGCTGATTGTTTTCACCGATAAGTTTTCCCAGCTCAATCTCTCTCATCAAACATTTCCTTCCTTCCTCTCCGGCAGTGGCTACAACAACAGGGTATGTTGATGGATAGATAATCATTCTGATAAATGCATTTGTTTCAAGCTTGAGACTGAGAAATAGTCTATTTGGGTTTGAAACGTCACATCTTCCTTTTACCATTTAGATGATTTTATTTAAAAGCATTACGTTACTCAACTCACCTACGAGTTCCCCTCAGGCACTCCTGAGTCGATATAAGATCGGAACCAGCTTAGGTTCAAATCCTAACAATGGACTCTTGGTTTTCTTTGTTTAGCATCCTTATGTAAATTATTTTTGTTGTGGTTTGTTCCGTATTTATATAGCAAGTAATTAAGTATTTATTTAAAGTCCATTACACAGGGAGTGGTTGCCCAGATCTCCCGAGCCAGAGGCTCATGACAAATGTGATTAACAAAGAAAATATATAAAGCATTATATGTATACAATATTAAAAAAAAAGGGTTTTTGGATAATAAATATATATAAGGTAATGAATTGATGCAATTGATATAGTGGTGGCAAATGCTGAGAATAATCGTTGAAAATGATAAATATCAATTTGAACAATTTTTGCATTGGCAACCGGGAAAAAATTGGAACTTTTGAACCAAAATTCTTTGCGAAGGCTTCGAGAAAATTCATACTAAATATTTTCAGTGATTAACCCAACATTATGTCCGAAATCGAGAAAAAATGACGATATAAAGAGGTTTCAAATCGATGGCCTCGTGGCATCGTTCGGAGATGCCACCACCGTGCATCCACGAAAACTTAGATGTCCCGTATGGGAACCCAGGCGACGGCCGTACGTTGACCATCGGCAACATCGCAAATACTATCGAAAACCACCATCCACTCAGTCTGTTACAATGCCCCCGTCAACCCGAGACAGACAACCACTGGAAAATGGGAATGAGTCACTTTACATCGGTGGTACTTGCACTTTGAGAAAACATAGTTTAAGGGAAAAGTAAGCTCCAGTGGATCCAGTGGCGGATTTAGAGCTCGAGGGAAGATCCGGGAGACCATCCTTCCCAAATCCCCCTCCTCAAAAATACTCTACACAAAAATGTTTACAATGACAGTATCGCCAAACTGGCTGATTCTTTTCAATTAATTTGTTTGCCTCTTTTCCCGTTTCTTCCGTGTTTATCTGTGAGTGAAGAAGAGTGAGGAAGGTTGTGTATTGATTCGAGAACAGACTTTTTTTAATCCATCCCTGGAATCTCTATATGTATTAACATATCGAATCAAGGGAATCTTACGCGTGAAGCATTTAGTGGCGACTGTTCGGTTTCCAGGTCTTCCATTTGGTGAGCTCAGCAGAGCCCTCCGTACGGCTCCGAACGCCCCTCGTCTAATGACTTCTTGAGGCAGGACACGGCTCACCTCAATTTCCCATTCATCTACCTCTACATTCAATGGCTCCATCTGAATTGCCTGCTCTTGATCAGGACTGAAAATTGGAAGCATTACAAATTTTCTGGGTTAAAACAAAGAAAAGCGATAAAGAAAAAAGACATCACGAGCAAAAAGATAAATATTAATTTGCTAGTATAATCTGATTTATTGCCCTGACTCATATCGAGATGAGTACTCTTACCGATAATGAGGAGACAAAGTTTTCGCCAAACTAGGGACCTATATTATCACAAAACACGTTTGTAACCATGATTATGAAAATACTCTGCAAATCAGATGAAGTTAAAAAATAGCCTCGTTTTTGGAAACCTTTTCAGTTGGTCCCAAAACCAGATTATTATACTTGAATTCACAATTAAATAAAAAAAACATTGAATTCAATGATAAAAACAAATGGAATTCAGAGACTTGTGAGACAGGAAAGAAAAGAATTAACAAACGAACAAATGAAGTTAATTCTAAATAACAATTGATGAATGCTAAATATGCATATTGACCATGATAAAAGTAAAGTGATATTATCCCTGTGACAGTCATCATTCAAGGTCGTGAGTCATGAGGGGGGTAATAAGTAAATTGAAATTTTTTAGGGAAAATGAGAACAATGCCTCACAAAAGAAAAACTAAGTTGATGTTAATGACTATAGAGACAGCATGGAAAAGATTAAAGCACAAGGCGAGAACTCCACGTGTAGAAATGTGATGAACAAAGGTAAAACACTTGACTTAGAGAGCCATAGCTGCAATTCCAATCGAAAAATTTAATGGAGACAAAGGAAAACTTTGTATGAATTAATTCAATCAAGTATTCTTATAAAATTGCTATACAATGGAAGCATGATTTGAATTTGCGGAGAATATGAGCTAAAAATTTTTAATTGTTCTCCAAATACCAACATAAACAATGTGAGCCATAAAAGTAATTGAAAAAATTACAATTTCTGTTCGTTCGTTCTATTGCTTTTTTCTACCGGTAAGGGTTAGCCCGAGGAAACACTGCGTTAAAGTGCGAGGGGAAGTAGAAAAAAAGAAAAAAACTTGACCATTTTAGTTTTGTCTTATTTCAAAAAATAAATGGCTAAAATAAAACAGGGTAACTGGGCCTCAACTGCCCTTCGACGCTTGCAGAAAAAGCAGGCAATCACCGAAATGAGAATCACTCTTGCCACTGATCCACCAATGTAATACTACAAAGAATTAGGACCCTGCATGGCTCGTGGCACTTGCTTAGCTAATTGTGTTAGATAACTATGTGGCCATGGATAAATCTCAGCGATAATAACCGTTACAATAGTGATAGTCATGTTACCGTCCCGGCGGAATGGTAGTGAGCATCCCTACTGTCTGTTATTTTAACCCCTGACGCCTTTTTTTTAAAGCGAAATATCTGATTCTCATTATATAGATTTATAGAGAAATCTAAGGTTATTTTCTTGGGACCTTCCACGGGAAAAAAGTGTACTATGTAGGTATCTACATGTATAATGTTCTGCTATTGTTTCTAATCTCTTTTTTAATGAAGAAAATATTTTCCCAGAAAACAAAAACTAACAGTAAACTTTAAGAAGAACGTAAGAAATAGTAGTTTTCTTCTATAAGGATGACCTCGTTAATTGATTATTGGAGTTTTATGTGCTTCCTTAGACACAACAGTAACGTCAGCTTACCTTTGACCACAAACCCAAGCTTGTTACGTCCTTCACAGGAGCATTTTCCACCGTCTTCTTACAAAACCTTAGCAATGGTAAGTTCACTCTCTTTCTTATCCCGTTGTGTATAAATCTTTGCTCTTTCTGATGGTGAGTCTCCATCTTTTTTCCAAGTTACATTTATTGTATCTTGGTTGACCAGGCAGGTCAATGTGAGGACATCTCCTGTTGTGAGTGCTGGATATGGATCTGGAACAATTTGAGCAGAGGCTTTTCCTACCTTGAGAATAAGGGGTAATTTATTTAAAGAAATTCTAACTCGCATTTACAACTCTCCAAAGTAGAAAAAAAATTGGATTAACGAAAGGAAAACAAGCTAAATTTGACTTCATAAAAGGAAAGTTTGGAACATGTCGCTTCGGATGAAAAGGTTTGGAAAAGGCTTCAGGGGAGAATTTGAGGACCCATGTTTTCAAATGACTGGTAAATGTCGCAAGTACCCAAAATTACAACTAAGAACATAGACAATTTCCTATGGTTCCAATACTTTCAAATTTTAAACTAACTTCTCGGTAAGCGTATCAAAAGGACTCCACAAATCAGTTAAGTAGCCCAATCTATTCATCCCCAGGTTCATAGTCAAGATTATCAATTGTGCGTCGCATAAATAATTGATGACTTTGCGACTTGCTTTTTCAGCTACCTATCATCGGGTTTTTAAAAATTACGCGCGAAAGACCTATTGTTCTCGAAACATTTACATGTAGCAGCCGCAAAAGTTAGAAATCTAAGTATCATATTAGCGGCAAAGCGTACACTAGTTGGTTTTGATTGGTCGTGATTTTGTACTCCTTCCCTCAATTGCAAAAGGAATATTGCACTTGCTTATTCACCTCTCAGGATGAACATCTACCCATGTTCACACGTCAACCCGGAAGTTTTAAAAGCTGGCGATTCAATATGGTTACCAAAAGCTGTTTGCGCCTGAATATATGCCAGAGGCAATTGCATGCCAAAGTCATGTTGAAAATTGTAAAATCAGCAAACATGTCATGTCACTTCAAACATATTACAAATTTAGAAGTGGGGTGTTACTCAGCTAAAGATCTGATTATCTAAAAAGGTTACCGGCTCAATTTCTCAAAAAACGCGTGCATCTCTTTAATCAACGGAGCAATTACACTAAATGTATCAATCAACCATGATAGCGCCGTCACTTCTATTTTTGTTCTTTGTTTGTTCTCGCCTCCCAAATAACTACAGCTTTATCTTCATATCCGTTCCCTTCTCCATTATCGTCGTCTTTCTTTTCGTCCTCTTTATCGTTAAAGCCATCCTAGCCATTATCATCGATATCATTATTAAACTTACCATAAACATGCAGTATTGCAGAGGAACTAGTAGTGTTTGCTTTGTTTTTCGCTTCACACCTGTAAGTGCCTTTCATCTCTTTTGTGACACTTGCCAACTCTAGCAACGATTCTCCATCGTGATCGGTTTGATTGATGTCAAATGGGAGGTCACCATTATTAAAAACCCAGACTAGGGTTGTAC